TTGCTAAACATTTGTATTAAAACCATTCATTCATACACAAGTTGACCACCGCTACTTTGGCAGGACGCCTTCAACCTTAGGCCTGGTTTCGGGCTGTCATTCATTTTACTAAATCATAAGAGAAAATTGAAATAATGATAAAAAAGAAGAAATAAAATTAGCGTTCCAGTCCTTATAAAGTGACACTGTTTCTTTCCATATTTTTTTTTTTATACATGTCTTTTATTTTTCTTCCTTGTATTTGAAACACCTAGAAAATCCACCTAAAAGTGTTATTAGCTACAAATCTATTTTTTTTCAGGAATATTTCAGTGTATTCGTTTAGGTAATACATCAAATAGGGATACTTAACAAAACTATGCATATTCACATCATACTGGTATGATATGACGCAATATAAACAAAACAATTATCACAAAATCAATAAACAACTTTGAATTGATAATAAAGAGACAAAAAAGAAACGGTTGGCTAAATATATCTTAATAACCATATATCACAAATCATATATTTATACCAGTGTCAAAAGCATTGTCACAGTCTCTAGATCAAAATGTAAAGATCTTTTATAATTTTTCCTAAACTATTTATGTGCCATTTGAGAAGCACGAAAAACTGTGTGTAAGCATGTATTTTTTTAGAAGTTTTCATTCAACCAGACTCAAAAAAGACAAAGTACATAAGAATTGTGCAAAAAACTGGGCATATACTTGGGGGGCTATAAAAGCTGTTTTATTTGAAACACTTAAAACCATGAACACTAAGGTCAGAATTCTCCAGTCATACCTGAACTATAGCAGAAATCGGGGGCCATATTCGGAAATTTGTGAATGCGTCGCTTCAGGGCACATCCATTTACACTTTTAATGAATATGACGTTTCTGTGCTATCACAACATTTCGAGTAGAACCGTGTCCTTCTGTCCTAATATGCTAAAAATTCTCCTATTTACATATTTTCAAGTTCCTTAATTATTCAACAGATCCCCTATTTTCCTCCCATGAAACCATCATGAAATAACACATGTACAAACCTAAAATAGATTTACATATCCTTGAACACATGTACAAATTTGAAAAATTTACATGAACTCTAATAATTAATACTGTACAGCATAATTACAAGTGTCTGAATCGAGAAGCCAAGAATTGTAACATGGCACACAAAGCATATAACAAAGTACATCAGATAAAGCCTATATAATATCAACTTTCCTTGAAGCCATATACTTGCCTGGGGACTGCAGACATAAAACTTCTTTGATATATCCATTCTATATAAAACTACAAAACTACAGTATGCAGTAATAAAATCTAATTCATCTGCAGCCCTACAAGAAACATGAACCCAAAGAAGATGTTTTTTGAAAGAGAAATACCGACGTGTGAAAATGCCGTTGCAGATTCATGATACGTAACATTATTCTGTTTTGCTTGATAGAATGATTAATTAAAACAAAAATAAACATAAAAATGGATTGAGCAAAGATTTATTATGAAGTAGCTACTAGTATATTGACTTCACTTGTTTCGTTGAGTTGAGGTTAAAACGCACTACTTTACGCATGTTTCCCCCTCCTGGGAAATGGAAATGAGATTGCGGGTCAAAATTCATTTAAGCAGTTATCTATTTCACTATACAAGATATAAGATAAACCAACTAAGGTAAATCATGTACGATTTACGTAAATTCAAGTGACTGCATATTTTCTTCCAACTACTGAATCTGATATCTAAGTTCAAAACAGTTCGAAAGAATTCGACTTTGTACACTAATAGATTCCAAAAGAGATCAAGAACCGTGAGATAACTTTACGATGCGTGTCGCCTAAGAATGAATGAATTGACAAAGTATAAAACAAAGTTATATGAGATAGGTAAAATATCAATTTAAGAAAAGGTTTTAATCTACGAAATAATATAGCATGGGCTGAACGAGATTCAAGTAATGTTCAATACACAACTTTCATGATTAATCCAATAAGCACCTGGAACTGAATCACGCTTTCACTATAATGCTAAATCTTCACTTGGAAAACCGAGTCGCTTGTATCTATTGCCGGGATATGGTAACACTGATAACAGATCCGTTGTATTGTAGGTATTAAAGTATTCTTGTTGTCTTTCAGGTATTTTTGCAAGAATTAACTGGTCGTAGAGTTCTTCAAAATCCGTGTTGCAAATAATTCTTGTAGAACTGTTAAAGCACAAATAAAATGTATCTGCAGAAAAAAAAATCTTTGAATTATCAATCTAACGATATCAAATTTATCCTTTTTGAATGATAATAAAACTAAAGAAAACAGAGAAGCATTATAGGCTACTAACTCTCTACACTTTTCACAAAATATGAGATTTTCCTTGAATGGTAAAGTATCTACACTTCTACGTGTAACTATGTATGTATAATGAATTGTGTGTGTGTGTGTGTGTGTGTGTGTGTGTGTGTGTGTGTGTGTGTGTGTGTGTGTGTGTGTGTGTGTGTGTGTGTGTGTGTGTGTGTGTGTGTGTGTGTGTGTGTGCTTAACATCACCACAATTTGTGCAAGTTTTTCCTAATCATATACCAATTGTATGGCATTAGAATGTGAAGACAGTGCGTTTATATAAAGTCTGCAACAAACAAACCATCAAGTCATCTGAATTGTGAAAAAAGTTCGTATTTGAACCTTATTAAAAGTACCATATCGACGGAAATCTTTTTAAAACATAAATACACTTAACAGTAAGTGAAAATTCCAATGCAGTGCATAAGTAAAACCAATAATGTTTCGAAAGTGAAATGTTTACATCCTTTCCCATCAATTCAGCTTTACATCAGAGAAACAAAACAAATCAACATTCTCCATCAGACTCATACTTCATATATTTTAATTATTCTATATAATAAACTAGAATAAGTCTGAGACACATTTACAAGGACATCATTAGGGGTTCAGTCCACGCGTTCCTAACAGGGCACAGACAGGCACTGTTACAATTTGCATTATTGAGCAGCTACTCTCTTTTCCTGATACATATACTTAATATTCCCAAACGTCAAGAACTGCTGTATAACGAATATACACAAGAAAATAAAACAAAGATTAAAATGACATCAGCAGTAAAAATGTAAATAATAAAGAGGATTAAATGATCTTTTCAACGTAACTCCTAGAATTCTCCTTGAACGCACCAAAGAGAAGACAAAACCTCACGAGTATATTGTATCAGAGTTTTACATCTATCCAGCCAACTACATTAATTTTCAACTGAGTGTTATCAACAGTCAGCACGTCGGTTATCACGTAAAAATAATCATACATTTGGCCCCTTTCACATATTTTAATAATAAAGTTGAAAGAAACATGAATGTATAATACACATAATGTATGATATAAATACAGATGTTGTAATTGTTATTCATAAAACTTCTGTGATACCGCTGATTGCAGTCTCGTTGGCCAAACAATATAAAACATATTTCGTGTTCACCACTCCGATGCATATTAGACTAAATACTGATTGGCTTAGAATAATGTCATTTTAGTTTTGGTTCGCCAGAAAAAAATATGTATATATATAATGATAAAAAATAAAAAGACAATAAAAATATAAATGAAGTGTCAATTCTTCAAATGCAAAAGTATTCCTTATCGTGAAACAGATAAACTTATTAACAATATATTATGTCTCCTCTGCATCATGTAACGTCACATTCGGTATACGTTGTGTTTAATGCATTATCACAGTTTCAATAGCAATTATGTGTATTGTATACGCAAATGTGCAAAGAAAAGAAAGCCCTACTACAGTGCAATAAAGTAATGGAGGACTGTGCAACATTCGAGGTTGAAAATGATACGTTGACAAGCAGCTTAAGAGGGTTTCTTTCTCTCTACTTTGTATTATGTTTTGATCTTTGCGGTTTGCGAGTGCGGGCTTGGCTCTGGCGGACGTGTCTAGGGGGAGGGAGGAGGCACACACACACACACACACACACACACACACACACACACACACACACACACACACACACACACACACACACACACACACACACACACACACACACACACACACACACTCGTTCGGTCACGCGTTATTTTACCTTCACAGCATAACTGCAACTTTAACGGCAACTTCCACATCCCGCTGAACACATGTCCTGAGCCTGGATGTTACACAAACGATAGAGTGCAATAAAGAGGCTTACGGCTGCGATCTCTCGATTTTGTGATGCTTTTATGCCAAAGTTAGGATCGAAATTGAGATTTTCAATTAGATTCTAAATGCGATGTGGGGGGGGGGGTGAGAGAGAGAGAGAGAGAGAGAGAGAGAGAGAGAGAGAGAGAGAGAGAGAGAGAGAGAGAGAGAGAGAGAGAGAGAGAGAGAGAGAGAGAGAGAGAGTAACTACGATAAGCACAATGGAGGAACCAAACGTGTAAAAGAAGGAAGGCGCAGTGAATGATAAAAAGATCGAAATGATGAAGAATTTATCATCAAGACTCCGCACGATTTTTTGGCCCCGACCGAAAAACGAAGGATGAAGCAAATTCCAACAAATTCCCATGCCAAGCGTAGAATCTCGAGAAAAGAAAACGAAATGTCAAAATCTTCATTACCACATGACAACACACCACATTCCCCAACTTATAAGCACAAGTTAGCCCGCATGAAGAGAAACATATGAATGAGAAAGAATAATTCCACAAAGCAATAGATTCATTACCACTCACACCTATTTCTGTAATGGTCACAGTGAACTCTGATCACCCATATGATGATTTTTAACACGTAGCAACCGCAATACATAATCCAAATGTCGATAGTTATCTACGAATAATAGTCACGTTGAGATTCCCTCTCTATTCCTAATACTACTTGTACAATCTATGAACACTATCGCTACTTCAATGATAAATTGGCCTATCGCTATAGCTATTTCTATCTCTTCTACGGTTGATCCTTTGAAACGGTGATAGATAATAGAATCCAAGACTGTAAGATCGTGAGGAATAAC